CTAAATTCAGAAAGGTGTGATGATTTCACCTAAGCTAAAGTTGACTTCTATGTAACATGAAAATAGTCCTTAAAATATGAAAGAGGAAAAGTTTAACATTCTTATAATAATTAAATATATGTCAATAGTTACAAGTAATCTCATCCACATATTAGAACAGACCATGGAGGAATTTTGCTCGAAAACATGAAGAGTTACTCTAAGTTTGCATGAAAATCATTGAACTCTCTTTTGCTTGTTTTTTTTCACTAAGTCATACTGAAATTCCTTCACTTAGCTTTTAAGTGAGGTTTCAGAGTACAGAAATTTCTTTTTTCTTAATTTTTTGGGAATAAAATCACCATTCAGATTCCCCATTAGTTACTAGAGTACCATTGCTAAATAACACACTGTGCTCAAAAAACTTGACTTTTGCAGACATGTTTCCAACTAGTATTATAATATTTTGAATCCACCAAATCTTGTCAGCTACTCTCAAATTCCAAACCCATCTCTGCTCTGTAAAACAGGCCAGGGTGGGTTTAGGGGACAAAAAAAAAAAGTCTATGAGATAATCATTGTGTCCATCTCCTTTGGTTGGCAGCATAAGGCAACATAAAATGCCAATAGTCAATGATCCAAATAAATCATGGGTGAGGGAGGGCCTGGGTTGGCTGCAGGTCAGTTCTCCAAATTAATTCTATTCATACATCCTTCCTTTAAAGCTGCTTCTTTCCAGTTTTCAGAATAAGATGACACAAGTGGACAGAAAAATTTAGAAGGTATTGGGAAAATGATAAGCAGCTCTTCTGAAGAGAAAATAAAGTACTCCATTGAGATGATACCTTGAAACATATATTGATTCAAAAGTAATTTAACTTCACTTGGTAACGTCAAGAATAAAGGCATCTTTTATTTTCACAGTTCTAGATATTGTTAGAATTGCACATTAGAATGGGGGTAGTACAAGGAATTATCTATTTCCATATGGCAAACTTCTTCCTCACAGTTCAATATATTGCCAAAAAGCTATCATAAAATAGAATTCATTTCTAAAACAAGCTTTGATATTCCCTCTGCCCAATTAGGAGGTTTAAAGGTAATTAAATTAGCTGTAATAGTAATAGCTGACCTTTCTGGGGATGTAGATACATTTGTCAGGAGACCCAAGTTCAGGGACGTCTAATTGTCTGCCATAGGCTCTTCTAAAATTACTGGGGGAGGGGCGCCTGGGTGACTTAGTCGGTTAAGCGTCCGACTTTCGCTTAGGTCATGATCTCGCGGTTCGTGGGTTTGAGCCCCGCGTCGGGCTCTGTGCTGACTGCCAGCTCAGAGCCTGGAGCCTATTGCAGTCTGTGTCTCCCTCTCTCTCTGACCCTCCCCTGCTCACGCTGTCTCTCTCTCTCTCCTAGAAATAAATAAAAATATTTAAAAAATAAAATAAAATAAAATAAAATTACTGGGGGAAAAGGAAAGAGAAGAAGTGAGAGACCCCGCCCTCACTCCCAGTTTTCTGTACTCCACTCTCATCAAGGCTCTGAATCAAAACCTCACTTATTTGATGAGTTAATGTCCTGGTGGTTTGAATATCTGGGAGAGTAGAGGGGGTTAAATTTAGTTGTTTTACTTTTTACTTTAGCAGAGAAACAAGACACAATCTCACCCGATTGAGAAATACCACCTTTGTGTAAATAACATCTTTCCAGATACACAGAAAAAAACTGACCTTGCTCCAATCAGTGGGCATACTTTAAAGAATAGACTCTTCATTTTTCTTCCTTTACCTTGGATTTGGGGGAGACAACTGTTTTCCTGCCTAAATTCGCATTGATGCTCACTAGCCATAATTCCCTGGGTCCCTTAAAACTCCTGTACAGCGAGAACCCTTACTTAGCTTAAGCAAGGTTTTTAAAAACTGTTTTAAGTAAGAGGAGATTGAGAAATGTGAACAGAAAGCAGCTTAGGCCACTGGCATCACAACCTCTTCACTTCCTTTGTGCGAAATGTGGGATATCACTGCTCCTGTAATCCTTTTTAAAAATAATACATTTTGCTGGGCCTTGCTGATACGGGGAGGTTGTCGTTATTTTCTCCCGAATTTGTCGGAAATCAAAGTTCCTCTGGTATCATGGTCAAAATAATGTAAAAATGTCAACGTGGGTGGGAACAGGTGATAGGATGTTTACTGCAGGTGTGCTGGGACGTGAATCGAGCTAGCCAGCCCTGGCTAGGCGTGAGGTCCAGCCCTCACCTCCCATTGCTTTCCCCCCCCCCTGCCCCGCCCCCGGGCAATACTGCAGTCAGCCAGCTACTGTCGAGCCCGGGCTGCGCGGGAAGGAGTGGGCTTCGGCGAAGGATGCTGCGTCCCCGAGATGCCCCAGCCGGAGCCAGGCAAGGTGGAACCTCAGTGTCCACAGATGGACCTCAGGACCTGCGCAGAAGGAGGGGTGTGTAACTCTCGGTGATCACGCCTCCGCGGCTGCGTGGGCACCGGGTCTCCGGCTCAGACCTGACCCCGAGAGCGCCGGCCGGGCCCAGCCGGGACCTGGCGCAGGAGAGGGCGGAACGGCCCCTGCAGCCAGCGAGCGCCCAGGCGGCGAGGCACACTGGGAGCTACACGCCCACTTCCCGCCTCTAGGAGGGCACTGTGTGGCTGTTTGGTGCAGGTTCGCGCTTTTGCCTCCAGAAAAAACAAAATGCTGGTTTTGCCCTTCTCCGAAACATTCAGGGCAGGAGGGCTGGGGTGGGGGCGGGGAGGATGTCCGGCTCCACCTGTGTGCCGAAGTCGCCAGAAGCTCTAAGGAGCCTGAAGAGTTCAGCACCAAGGCAAGCTGGCCTCCAAAACGGCATGCGCGAAACTGGGCTGAGTGGGGTCTTTATTTATTTTTTTAATTTAAATTTTCTTTGGGGCGCCTGGGTGGCTTAGTCGGTTAAGCGTCCGACTTTCGCTTAGGTCATGATCTCGCAGTTCGTGGGTTCGAGCCCCGCGTCGGGCTCTGTGCTGACTGCCAGCTCAGAGCCTGGAGCCTGTTTCAGTCTGTGACTCCCTCTCTCTGACCCTCTCCTGCTCACGCTGTCTCTCTCTCTCTCTCTCCTAGAAATAAATAAAACATTAAAAAAAATTTTTAATTTAAATTTTCTTTAAAATCAATTACATCGTAGTTAAAAAGAAACTCTTCAAAGCGCTCGGCACAGCTCACCATTTATAAACCGAACTGGAGACGTGGAGCCATTACCCATTTATTATTCGGGCAAAACCAAAACCTCAGCCAGGAAACAATTTGGCTTAAAATGTTCACGTCTTGAAGACAAGTATGTCTTTAACGGTGCATTTGTTTGCAGCTTTACAGCCTGAGAATCGATTTCAGACTTTTTGCTGTTTTTAAATTGGGTAATAACTGGAGTTCCCAAATGCACGCTGCCTCTGCCTTGGTTCTGGGCTCTCCGTGCTCCCACGCTCTGCCCCCAGCGCCCCCTCAAGTCCGGCCCACCGCCCCCCCAAGTCTGGCCCACCGCAATCTCCGTAACGCGCTTTCCACCACCTGATCCAGCCGTACGGACAGTCTGGTCTCGAGTAGCCCCTAAATTACGGGAAGGAGGACTCCCTTACGACACCCTCCTCCCCAGGGGGCTATGATGGGAGTGGGGAGTGCTTGGGGAGGATGGAGAGCAGCGCAGGAAGCCGGTCCAAGCCTGCCGAGCTCTCAGAACAGGAAAAAAAAAAAAAACACAAACAACAACAACAACAACAAAAACGATGAACGTTTCACAATTCAAATGCATCCTTTCAACTCTCGAAAATGAAACAAAATCCCAGCTGCTGTTTTACTGGTTGAAGAGACGACGAAAGCCTCCTCTGATCTCCCTGCATTCTCTAGGACGACTCCTCTTGCAGCCAACGAGTCCCGGTCCCCCAAAAGTTACCGCAGCTTTAAAGGACGCTGGCCGAGGAGGCCGGGCCGGCCGGGGGCCGGGGAAGGCCTCCTGGACTCCTCGAAAGCAACCGGGAGGGTCCAGATGCGGGGCGCCAACCACGCAGATGAGGGCGGGGGGTGGGGAAGGGGGGCGGGATGGAACTCTAAAGAGGCGGAAGGGACCGAGCCCAGAGAGTGGGACTGAGGAGCGGGAGCCGGGGGCAGGCGGGCTGGGTCTGTAGAGGCGCTGCCGGGCAGTCGCACAGCTTCAGCCTCTACCACTTCCCCCCCAGAGGGAGCTCCTCCGCTCCGGGGAGGAGTCTCCGGACTCCCGACTTTTAGTCTGAGACGACGGGATCCCCTAGGGGATTCCTGGGGTAAAGCTCTAGCCTCCCGGCGCGCACCGGACGCGCAGAGCAGAGCTCCTGCCCTTCGTCGCCACTCCCGGACCACACACTCTTAAATCTCCAGTGTGAGGCCAGGGGTCTCCCAACGGACCTGTGCCACCACGCATCAAACTTTTTCCTCTCCCCAAGTGCGAGGCCCCCCACGTCCCCCCTTCCGCACTCCTTCCTTCCTCCTTCTCTCCCATTCTGTGTCTCGCTGGGTTCCTCTCTCTGCAGCTTTAGCCAAGGAGTCACACTCCTCGCGGTGCGAAGCCTCCAGGCTCAAGCTCTGGGGTGCGCAGGTCGCCGTATCCGTGGCCACCGGCTCGCCGCCGGGCGGCCCCGAGACACACTTCGGTAGCCCCTGGGCCCGCGTCTCTGGCTCCCCATTGGCCCCCCGGCCCCCGCCAACGCCCCTCCCCGGCGCCCTCCCCCTTCCTCGGCCCACGGTGGCGTCAGCACGCCTATCCGGCGTGGGGTTTAAATGCCCACTAGCGGGAGCACCCGCGCGTCTGTCCCGGAGCAGCGTCCGGGTTGAAATTGCCGGGGTGGGAGGGGAGCCTGCGAGCGCGCGGGATCCCGAGCCGCGGAGCGCCCTGCCCACCGCTCCGCCGCCGATGACTCCGGGGCTCGAGCCCGAGCGCCGCCCATGCAGCATCCCCGCGCTCCGCCGACCGAGAGTTGATGATAAAATACTTCGCCGTCTCCGCTGCGGGGAGCCATGAGCTGTCTGGATGTTATGTACCAAGTCTATGGTCCTCCGCAGCCTTACTTTGCAGCCGCCTACACCCCCTACCACCAGGTACGTGTCTCCCCGGAGCCGAGACCTCGGAGACGCGTGGCGCGCCCGGGGTTCCCGGAGCACCGCGCGTACCCCGAGGTCCCGGGCGCCTCCGCACGGGTCCGGGGCCTTCCTACCAGCGCCGGGAGCCGCGGGATGCGGGGAGTGCCGGCGCTGCCACACGGAAGGTTGAGCTAACCCCCGTAGCGAGTCCACTTGCTCTCCCGGGAAGGCAGCTAAGCCCTGTTAAGGCGCGCCCCGTCCTTCCGGGGGAAATCAGACGAGGTTCGCGCGAGCTGGACTGTGTGTCGGACTCCCAGTTCCTCGGTGCGGGTGAGTAGGGAGCTGCGATTGACGCTCGCGCAGGGAAAAGCAAACTTTGGTCTCAAAGGTGAGAGTGACCAGAGAACAAAAGCAAAGACCTGTCTCTCTGTCTTTCTGTCTGAAATGCAAAGACCTGGCTTCACATCCCTGCAAGCTTATCTAAGGAGTAACTTTTTTCCGTTTAAATTCTCAAGGGATCAGGCCACTTAATTCCGGAACCAGAGAATTCGTTACAAGGAGAACTGCGCAAAAGCATGGGATTTATCATCTTTGCTCTGCAAAGTTCTGGGGATTGTTATTGGGGTGCAAGATGACTTGGCAGAGGAGAGCTTCAAAGATAATTAGTATTCTTTTCGCCTTTCTAGAGGCTGAGTAGCTACATCAGGCTGTCCTGCCCTTCCCAACCCCACCTGTAAGAAGACCACTTAACGCCAATTCCGCAAATTCTTGAAGTTTCGTTTAATTATTGCATTTTATTTACATAATTGCACTATCTCTTCTCAGGGCTGGGTCTGGACGACCGGTTTTTTCTTTCCATTTCCTCAGCTGGTGTAGTAAAAACTGAGGACCATAGTCCAGTAAAAGAATTAAGTTCACACACCCAGGGGGCCTTAGGGGTCCCGAGCAGATTCCAAAATGAGGGCTTGGACCCCTGCTTCAGAGAGACCAAAATGCATCCGGACCCCCAGTCCAAGTTTTGCCCATTTTGCTTGCAAATTCAGAACATCTATTTGAAAATTTCCTGCTGAATTAATGACGGAACGAGTAGGTTTTGCTTTTTTTTTCCTTCTCTCCCCCCCCCCCCTTTATTAAACTTTCCATCTAGGAGTTTGTTTAGTCTCACAATATTCATTTGGGGAATCACCAGAGTCCCTCATTATGAACCAATTGGGAATGTGGTGGAAGGGGTGATATTACTAAATAACTACAGTCTTTTGGCTTCAGTGACTGAGATGGCTCCTTCCCAGGCTGTGACTATTGCAAAGAGGAGAGATGGGTTGATTTTCTGTCCGTTTGGTCCTTTCTCCTCCCTGGCCCTGGACCAATAATCTATTCCATTAAGATCTCTGTTCATCTTTGTATGACCAGCCCGCTTCGAGGCCATCTGTGCCTACATAAATGCTTTAACACTACGTTCAGTCCATTGCTCGTTTCTAAGAAACTATTTCAGCAGCCACACTTGGTTTTTAAAATCGCTACTAGACAGCCACAATTCCCTCAACCTCACAGCCAAGATCTTTTTCTCTCCTTCTTATCACCTGTTTCCTCAATGTGCGTAGAGATGTTGAGAGTGGAAGTGCTCAGAGCCCACTGGTTTTTCCTAGCTTAAAAGAAGAGCTCTTTAAAAACTGAGATAGACTTTTAAGTGGACATTTTATGGATGACCAAACAAATATCAACTTGCATTATTAAAATGATCCATGTCAGGATGTCATTCCACGTGTTTACCCCCACATGATTCTTTCCTAAATGGAACTATCTCATACTCTGTCACAGTTCTTCCTTCACAGTCCTGGCTGCACGGAGTGGATTTTGGTATGTTCATGCTCCGTCACAACGATGCTTAAAATCTTGCATCTTGTGCATCTACCTCGGATTCTGAAGCAGGGGACAATCAGGCCCTAACTGGAGTTGGATGCCCTTGACCCTTGGAGCCTGATTTTTAAAATACGTCTGCCCTGAGCCTGACTCTGCGGCCAAACTCCGCCTATATACTGGGTACTTAGGCATCTTCTGGGACCGTTACCCTGACACATTCAGAGGGCTTTGCCTGCGGTCTAGCGGCAATTCTGGGGAGACAGAGACACCAAGAAAGGCAGTCTGCCTCTCAAGAAGCTCGCGAGTGTTACTGAGCACAGGGGCTTGCTTACGCATGAATGTCAGTTTTCCCCTGGATACCTTAGGGATCTGAACCCAACTTGCCATCTCTTTTCAAACTGACTTCTCTGTTCTTTGTCTCTTTGAGCAGAAACTAGCTTATTACTCCAAAATGCAGGAAGCGCAAGAGTGCAACCCCAGCCCCAGCAACAGCAGTGGCAGCGGCAGCTCCTCCTTTTCCAGCCAAACTCCAGCCAGCATAAAAGAGGAAGAAGGCAGCCCAGAGAAAGAGCGCCCACCAGAGGCAGAGTACATCAACTCCCGCTGCGTCCTCTTCACCTATTTCCAGGGAGACATCAGCTCCGTGGTGGACGAGCACTTCAGCAGGGCCCTGAGCCAGCCGAGCAGCTATTCCCCAAGCTGTACAAGCAGCAAAGCACCCAGGAGTTCGGGGCCCTGGCGGGGTGAGTAAAGGGCCCGCTTCTGAGAGCAAATAGAAAGACCTCTCGGCCTGGGGCCCACCTACAGAGGCTTGAGGGAAGGCAGCTGAAGGAATACTAAGTGTCAGAGGAGTTGAAGATGGCCTTGCTGGGAGAGTGAGTAAAAGGAATGAAGAAAGATCTCTCCTTGAAGAGGCAGAGCAAAGAAGAGCAGTGACCTAGAAAAGACACTAGCCTTGGAATTGGGAGTCCTGGGTTTTCGTGCTGGCTGCACCACTTCCCAGCAATATGACCTTGGGCGAGTCTCTTAACCTCTCTGAGGTCACTCCATTTACTGGTCTCTAAAATTAGAATAATACCTGCTCTCTTAACTATCCCTGGAGATGGCTGTTCAACAAATAGAAAAATGTGTGTAAATGTGCTGTGAGGTTCCCACTACTCTCCCAAACCCTGAGGAAGTTCTGCATCTACAACAACTTACAGGGCTCTTACCAATTCCTGAAAATTTGCCCAGAGGAAAAAAGTCTTAGACCCCACTGTCAGCAAAACCTGCTGAAGAATGTCTCCTAAAACGTCCGTATGCTTTTTGCCAGGTTTCAGTTCCTTAGGAAATCTTGAAGCAGAAAATGTCTTTCAGTAAGAAAGTTAAAGTATCAAAGAAATAAAACTTTAGGTAGAGCCAAAACACCTCTAAGCGTTTTCACCAAACACACCCCCTCTTTATCATTCTACCCTTCTCAGAAAGCACTGCTTTCTCTAGCCTGGGACAATGATTTATTGGACAAGTCAACTAAATCTCCCTTCCATTCTGAATTTTCAATCCCCTTTAATTTCCAGGACAAGGAGACAAACTTTCTCACTAAACTTAATTTTTGATGGGTACCAAGCTGAGAAATGAAGCCTTTGTTGTAAAAAGGAAAACAAAAGGAAAACAAAAAACATTTGGGGGGAAATGACCTCCCCCTCCCTTTTTTCTTGAGAGTGTCTGACAGTTTGTGCAAGCCTTACCTAGACAAGATCCCAAATCATTAGTTTTGAATACAGAACATTCTTTTTATTCTCCAGTTGCCTAAATATTTTTAACAGGAAGACAGTTCGCCACTTAGAATGTATTTTTAATTCTCTAGTATGTGCTGCAAATGGCTTCCCTAGAAGGAGGTGCTCAATACAGGTCCCTAGAATTAAATCTTTCTTTCCCTCCCCTTCCACACAAAAGGCAACACATTTGACCTAAGTGCTGTTCTCTTAAAATGCTTCCAGGCACTAGGAGTCAACAGTGATACTGGCAATAATAATTATTATTATTCCTGGCATCCACACTTTAACGAACAAATATTAATTAAAACGTATAAGATCTGTCCCTTTGTGTCCCTCTGCAAATAATACAGCTGCCCTTTTAATATGTCTAGTTTACTCTTTTGCTTGAGTTCTTGGAAAAAAATATTTGAAAGAAGGTTTCTAGAAAGGAGGCTAATAATAGCAAGACTTCGAAATATGTCGATGGACTTCCAGTCTATCAGAGGTCTTGGAGGGGCACATTTTCTGGAGCTGGGAAGGCTGAAACGCGAGAGGGGTTAGTGAAATCGCTAGGCTGCCGACCAAGAGCGGGAAGAGGTATCTTTAGCTAGGGAAGAGGCTGCGGGTTGGGAAAGGGAGGCCGTGTCTGCCCCGAGGCCGCCGAGGCAGCGCAGCCCGTTGTCGGAGAAATCTCCCTGCGCCCCAAAACTGGAACTGCAGAGGGGTGTCTCGCCGCTCTTCCTCTCCCAGCCTGTCCTGGGGTTTCCGTACTGGAAACGCGTCTGCAAAATCCGAGGAAGCAGCCCTCCTTCCCAAAGAGTTTCTCCCATTTTGCTGTGCCTCGACCTCGAATTCGCAGGGTGCAGCCCCGCTCAGAAAGACGCCACCCCCGTGGGCGGGCAGCGGGTCGGCTCCCCGCCGCCACGCGCCCGCCTTTTGCCCGCCTGGCGCGTTCAGCTTTCCCGCTTCCATCTACCTGCAGTGACGCGTTCCTCTCTTCCTTTCCTCCCCTCCGCCTCGCCCGCCTGCAGACGGCTCCTTCCCGATGAGCCAGCGCAGCTTCCCCGCCTCCTTCTGGAACAGCGCGTACCAGGCTCCGGTGCCCGCGCCGCTGGGCAGCCCGCTGGCCACCGCGCACTCGGAGCTGCCCTTCGCCGCGGCCGACCCCTTCTCGCCGGCAGCGCTGCACGGCCACCTGCACCAGGGCGCGGCGGAGCCCTGGCACCACGCGCACCCGCACCACGCGCACCCGCACCACCCCTACGCGCTGGGCAGCGCCCTCGGCGCGCAGGCCGCCGCCTACCCGCGGCCCGCCGCCGTGCACGAGGTCTACGCGCCGCACTTCGACCCGCGCTACGGGCCGCTGCTGATGCCCGCAGCCTCGGGGCGCCCGGCCCGCCTCGCGCCCGCGCCCGCGCCGGCGCCCGGCAGCCCGCCCTGTGAGCTCGCCGCCAAGGGCGAGCCGACCGGCGCAGCGTGGGCCGCGCCGGGGGGACCCTTCGCGAGCCCCGCGGGGGACGTGGCCCAGGGTCTGGGACTCAGCGTGGACTCAGGTAAGCGGGAGAGGGAGCTTGGCCTCCCCGGACCCCTCCTGCCCTGTGTCCGACCCTGGGTTGAGCCCCGGCCCCATCTTAGTTCTCCTTGGAGACCCCAGTGACCTTGTGGCCCAAGGGTCTGCATGGCAGGGTTTTGCTTCAGCAGACAGATGACCTAGTATCGTCGGTGTGGGCAGAACGAGAAAGTAGGCTTTTTTTCACATTAAATTTAAATAAATAAATAAATACATTTGTTTGAAAGGTACTATAGCTCTGCGCTGTTCAATCTTGTAGCCGCTAGCCACTTGAAATGTGGCCAGAAGGAACTGGGATGTGCTTTCGTGCCTAATACACACTGGATTTCAAAACTGTACCAAAAAAGAATGTGAAATTCATCTCACTGATATTTTTATGTTGACTGCATGTTGAAATACTTTCGACACGTTGCATATTGAACATACTGGGTTAAATAAAATATATTACGAAGATTCATTCTCACCTGGTTCTTTTTACTCTTTTTCAATGTGGCTGCTAGAAATTTTAGAATTCTGCCTGTGGCCCTCATTGTGTTTTTATTGGACAGCGCTGATCTAGAGGACCTGCTCAGAGTGTAGTTCACAATCTTCTGAGTTTGGGGGGTACTGTCTCCTAGTGACAATTATAAGGAAAGGAAAATATGATTTTGTTATCAGCTTAATCACCAAATTAAATAGGTCTCTTAAAATGTAAAACTTAAGGAGAATACTGAATTTCTGAGCTAATAGGTTGAATTTGAAAGGTACATTCAAAAAAGGGCTTACTCTTCTGCTTGTTTTACTTTTAGGGCATAACCCAAAAAAATGGTTATATTATAAATGCAATCGTTGGCATGTAGTGTTGCCCACTCACCCTTCCTTCCGGTGAAGATTTGACATTTCTATTTTGCTTTTACTTTCATTCATGCCCTTTAGATGAATTCTGTGACATTCGCAATAAAACTAGTGTTTGTCTTTCTCTTTCCTTAAATACCTGTGCCTTCCCGCCCCCAACCCCTTTTCTCTCTCTCTGTTTCTCTTCTCCCTCTCTCTCTCTCTCTTTCCCTTCCTTTTGTTTTCTCTCTGTTTTCAGGTTTGCAGCCTCAGGACAAAAGCAAGGATCTGTACTGGTTTTAGCCAGCCCACCTTCTCCCCTGTAGGTCTCTGCGTAGCGCAATTGATGGCACTCAGCTGAAATCAAGTGGGTTTGTAACAGCTTCTGATCTTGGTTTGCAGCTCGTCGTTATTCCCTCTGTGGTGCATCCCTCCTGAGCTGATCTGCTGACCCAGGGTTTCCCCTTCCCTTTCCCTTCTGACCAGCCGTGGAGGCTCAACATCTGTGCCTCTCACTTCATGGATGAGGACATGGGGGAAGGCAGAGACTTCAAACTTCTCCGTATATTGGGAAAACCAAAACATACATCTACAGAAATATTGCCTAACCATAATTCCTTCTGTGGAAAGAGCAGATCCAAAGACTCTCAATATTGTTGAATGACTTTTGGGCAAATCACTGGAAATATCTGCGGGGAGCTCACTTAGGTGATACGATGTCATAAGTTTCCTTGGAAAGAGGAGGACAAACAGAGACTTTTTGGTGTGAATATTTTTTCTGCTGATGTGAATTATTTCATGAAGTAGTGTGACCGTAGCACTACTGATAATCAGTATCCTCACATTTGAAATGTATTTGTATTTGCACCCAAGACTGCGGCAGAGAAGTAAAAGAGGCCAATCCCTTCTTCCTCGCCTCATAGCCTCCAGTTCCCTTCCTGCCTACAACACCCACTCCAGACACAAAGACACACTTTTTTCCTTTGGACTGTGAACATGGAAGCCTCAGCCTAAATGTGAGTGGCAAGTGGCTTATCTGGAGCCACCTGCCCGAGTCTTATTGAAATGCAGCTGTTGTTGGACAACTGTTTAAAACTCCAGAAATACATCGACCAAGGTGGCACTTCCCAGTGTTTGGCACAACGATTGCAATTGCACCGGATATATTTTATATGTGTGTGTGTAGATATATATCATATTTTTTACGAGGAACGTTTTACGATGAAAGAAGAAACCCTTCTCTGCCTTCTCTCCCACAAATTCTGTCTCTCCTTCTGTCCTCCTCTGGACGAAAAAAAGCAACAAGAGATCCCCAACTGTCTCTGTGAAGACCTAGGAATCACCACCAAGGGAAGAAATGTCCATGGAATCTCTAATACCTCGAATATTCCTCAGTCTCTGTGGTCATGATTTGGTCACTTTAGTTTTGGGACAGGGGAAGGGGTCTGTGCATGGGCAAAGTTGAAGGCGATGAGGAAGAAGGAACAAACATTAAAGATGTCTCTTTACTACAAGGTCACTGTGTTATTTCATAAGAAGAAAATAAATGTCCTAGTTTTTCCCCAGTAGAATAAAATAATTTATAGTAGTACAATCCAATGTCAGTAAGTACTATGACTTTATATATATACATATGTGTGATATGTGTGTGTGTGTGTGTGTATATATATATATATGTATATATATATATATATGGTGCTTTGTGTTTTTCCAAAGTGTTTGCCATTCTGTGAAACCTGTGAACCCTTTTCCACTTCACATCGACCCTGGAGGTGAGAAGTTAGGCAGCCCAACTCTGTTTCACAAATGAGACAGTTGTGGCCCACAGAAGCCCCAGGGCTTATCTGTTAGCATTCACTGGGTTAAAAAGCAGAGATGGCACTGAAAGCGCTACCTGTGGACCATTGAGTCAGGTACACATTTATTATTATTGTTACTTCTTAAATTCAGACTCTTAAGACAGTATTCAGTTAAAAAGTATTTTTGGAATATTGGTTCTATTATATTTTAATAAGCTAGGCTAAGAAACCAAACCTACCACGGAGTTAAAAAAAAAAAAAAAAAAAAAAAGGAAAGGAAAGGCGAGAGAGATATTGCTTAAGAAATTAGTGGTCTTTCTCTTAACTTTCTCTTGATGCCAAAGTTGTGTTCACTTCATTCACTGAATTGCCCAGGAGAGATATTTTGTGTTATATTCCAGTTGCCCTTGTAGATTGTTAAAACATTAGTTCAAGCATTGACCTTCACTGTAACATGAGAAACAGATACATTTCATCTTGGATGATAATCTCAGGAGCTGGGGCAGTAAGGGACCTTACTCGGTGTATGGCTTAGCAGAGTTACCCATCCCCTCTTTCCATCATTATGGTCATTACAAGAACCTATCACTGGTTTTGCTTATATGGAAGGTAGTCTATGGTCATGCTGCACCAGATGTGATAACACTCTTAGCTAATGCTGACTGTTTCTCAGGCACTGGTCTGAGGGCTTTGCATGCAGGTTAACTCCTTTAACTCTCATAACAATTCTATATGATATGTATTATCATGATCCCCTTCTCACTGAGGAGACAACAGAGGCTCAGAGAGGAGAAATAGTTTGCCAGTCACACAGCCAGTAAGTGTCAGAGCCAGGATGCCAACCCAATGCAATAACTACTACTTGTCCTCTTCTGATTTGTCTTTGGTGGCTCACACTTGGGTCCACTTTGCCCTCCAAAGTAGATGAATAAGGAAGGGAAGGAGCCAGGGCAGCAAAAGCTGACACACCATGGAACTTACAAAATCCCTGGTCTCAAAGGAACTATCACAGGACATTTTCACACCCCTTCATCAAATGATACTAACTATAGACTATTCAGTCAGATGCGGATTGCCATTCTCCTCCAGGAGGGAATTATTATTGCTTCTCTTATTAATTCATTCCAGTACTTCCCAGACTTCACTGCTCTGAAGCTCTTCACACCCAACCTGACCAAGTCATGTAAGAGTTAGCCTGAGGTTTGGACATTGAACCAATAACTAAAATTAACTTTGGACTTCTCTGTGGATTTTTTTAATCCATGTTCCATTGGCACGGATCACTGGTATATACAAGCATAAATAAAATGCATTAAGTTCCGGCTTGCTTTTTAGAATTTGCCGCTGAGTGTGCAGGTAGAGAAGACAGCAGAGTAATGCGTTCTTTGCTGGACATTGTCTCCAAGTAGTTCCCACTGGAAGAGACTGGGACAGCACTCACAGGATCTCTGATCAGGACCCACAGGGAGCATTTTCCCAGCCACGGGGTTCTGATTACTGAAACCTCTCTCCTGAGCTGCATCTGACCTGAATATCAGATTGCCGGTGAGGAGACTCATTCACTGGAACTGGCCTTTGGAGCAGTCCTGAACAGACCATCCAGACTCCAGTGACCTGGCACATAGGACACACGGATCACAGCATTTCCCTCAGTGTTGTATGTTCCCAAAGTAGAAATGCACGATGACCTAGAACTAAAATGATTCTGTCCGTGTAATAAGAGCATCAGAGAGAACCGTGGTGAATGAAGAGTCCTGACTGACACGCTTTAGGCCCACCAAATCCACGCGCAATAAGAATTCCCATGCCTGTCGTTAATTTTCACGAAATGATGCAGATTAGAGAAGGCAAACTAGTAGCTGACCAAAGGACACTCAAGGGTATGAAATATGACACGAGAAAAGGCAAACATGACGATTTCATGTGTGTTAGACCTGGTTGGGAGCCTGAGAGAAAGAAAAGCTTCGGCTCCCATCACCCCCGCTGGCACAGGCAGCCTCCTCACGCAATTTTCCCTGTGCGCTTGGCCTCCACTGAGGGAGAGGTGATGAAAAGGGGAGAGACAGCTCTCCGCCACCAAGTAATCCTTTTGCCGATTGCCCTCTGGCTGAGAACTCAGTCACCCAACTTCAGGGAACTCTATCTGTTCTACTCCTTTAGTTTAAAAGGAGTTTCCAGCCTGTCTCATTTCCCCTTTGAAGTTCTATTTCAACGTGTGGCAAATTCTAGCAATGACTTAAGATTGATTTGGGCCTGGATGGGAAGGAGGGCAGAGGTGGTGGATGTTAGGACTTAGATCCCCTGACTGGAAGCTTCTCCTGACATTCTTTCTGGGTGAGTACTGCACTTTCTGTGCTCGTTTTTTTTTCTGAGGAAACAACTCTTAAGATCAATTTAACCTCCAGTTTGCTCAGAATCATAAACCCTGCATTCATGTGCAGCCACCCATACCCCTCCTATCAAAATAGACAAGAATTTTTTTTTAACACTTAGTGATTGATTACTTAGTTTAATAAAACTTGGGAAGTTTTATTAAAGCAAACTACTTTCCTTATAAATGCTTTTTCTATAAGTTGCACTTTATTTTTTTAAGCTTATTTACTTTGAGAAAGAGGCACAGAGAAAGCAAGTGGGGAGGAGCAGAGAGAGGGAGAATCCCAAGCAGGCTATCAGCCCCGAGCCCAACATGGGGCTTGAACTCACAAACCTTGAAATCATGACCTGAGCCGAAATCAAGAGTTGGTAGCTTAACAGACTGAACCATCCAGGTGCCCCTCTATAAATTGCATTTTATATATAATTCCTATGGTGTCAAAACACTAAAGGCAAATTGAAAGATGTCTGAAAAGACTTTAAAAATAAATGAAATCAGGGGTGCCTGGGTGGCTCACTCAGTTAAGTGACCAGTTCTTGATTTAGGCTCAGGTCATGATCTCTCTGTTCATGAAATTGAGCCCCAACTAGGGCTCCATGCTGACAGCGTGGAGCCTCCTTGGGCTTCTCTCTCTGCTTCTCTCTCTTCCCCTCCCTAGTCATGCTCTCTCTTTCCAAATAAATAAGTAAACTTTAAAAAGATAAGTGAAACAAAAAAAACCTAAGATTCCTTTATAAAATTGCATTAACACTCTGTTAATAATAATTCACTCTGAATAATATGCAAATAATTCACATTTTGATCATACTTACCAAAATCCATACTCTATATATTCCATTTTCCTGGCAAGACATTTAGGATTTAATGTTATTCATTATTTATTACATGTTCCTAAATTCTGGAATAAAGGAAATAAGTGTCCCCAAGGCAATATCATTATTAGATTTGCTGTTTATACATAACTGAGGTTTTGACATTTATACAAGCAACATGGCTAAGCAAACATGAATCTCACCTTTCCCCATGAATAAATTAAACTCTAATAATATAAATATAGTATCCTCACAACAGAATCTATCTACAAATCTCTCTCTCTTTCTCACACACATGCACACGCGTGTATACACACATACACACACACAACACGCATGCACGCCCTCACACGCTGATGCAGACCTAAAGGGAAATCAGAGACACCGTGCCCTCAGACAGGCACAGACACAAATGATTATTCTCACTTGACAGACCAACTGTACCGCTCTTTCCTTGTATTTCACTCCTGCCCCAGAGGGCTGGATCAGGAAAGAGACACTTGATAGCTGCTGGT